GTGTTTTTGTATGCAAGCGGGTCTGCTGTGGTCTGCTGACAGTCCAAAATGGCGACGGTAGGATGAAACCATGGGCGAGTCTGTTGCTATGGGGCGTTCTATTGAGCTTCGCCTCTTGGTGTCCATGCTCTTTGTCTCCAATGAACCTACAGACTGATGATTAGGAGCAGAGGAGAGGAAACACACCCTGGGGCCCGTCTGATCCTTCATCAGTCAACAGCAGACGTCATGTTAATAGACGTCAGACAGAAACTCTGGTCTCTCTGATGTCTCTGTATTTTACTGTCCAGCAATCACCTGTAACACTCACAGACTTTATTCTGGGATTTTATATAATGCTTTACTTTACTGAGACCCAGTTTGACCCCGACACCATATATATGAAAACACATTTGACTTTTATTAAAGAGGCATTTGTTTAATATTTTTCACTGTAAAGGCTCTCGTGAGAATCATTTCGACAAGTGAATATGTTTTATTTTTATTATGTGCTCGGGCTCTGAGACGTCTTTACAACCAGCTGAAATCTGGAGAATCAGTAACACCAGCAGTTCCAACACTCAGTCCATCATTACACAGTGAGTCAAACAACAGGACACATCATGACGTGTCTGCTGACTCTGAGGGAGCGTCCACAGTTTGTCTCGTCTCTTTGAACTCTTTAAACCGTTCACACACCTGAACTGAACGTCTCAAACAAAGTGACACATTCAGTTTGTGAAACTCTCAGATAACATTAAAAACATTCAACAGAACAAACATTTCCATCAAATTAATTTATTCAGTCAGTTGGTCTAAAAACACATACAGCTGTCAGTGTGAGGAGCTCCGACCTCTGACCTCTGTCAGTACTTTACATAGTTTTAATATTCTGTGTCTGTGTTCTTTTCTCCAAAGATTTTTTTACTCTTCACTCATTTTACTTAATGTTCAAGTTTTTCTGTTCATGTACAGCCACACCTGCTGCTCCACAATAACCATTCATTATAAAGCTTCTGTTATTGTGGACTTTATTCACCACAGAACAAAAATAAAATGTCACTCAAACCCAGAAATGCTCACAAAGTCAGATCAGTCAGATGCACCTGCATTTGTATAGCACTTTTTACACTATGATTCACATTCACACGTTCATACACACGTTCATACACTGGTGGCTGACGCTACCACACAAGAGGCAACCTGCTACTCAGTTTTAAGTCACTCACACACTGATGGAACAGCCGTCATCAGGAGCACTTTGGGATTCAGTGTCTTGCTCAAGGACGCTTTCTGCATGCAGACTGGGGAGCCGGGGATCGAACTGCTGATCTCCTGATTGGTGGACGACCAGCTCTTCACAGCCGCCCCACATTTTTCCAGGTCATTTTAATTCTGACTGAATCACTGCAGACACAAAATCTGTGACCACTTCCTGTTTTTAAGTGTTTTAAACTCAGAGATGCTGAATGAAGATCTGTTTTTTGTCTCTTTGATCCGAGCCTGAAAATATTAACACACAGGTGGTGTCTTGTCTTGTCTTGTCTTGTCTTGTCTCGTCTCCTCTCCTCTGCTCTCCTCTCCTCTCCTCTCCCGGCTCAGGGCTTCAGTTGAGGTCACATGGCATGATGTGGACTCATAAAATCATGCCATGGCTTGGCTGACAGACATGACAGACTACACAATGGTCCATGACCAATCATCAGTGGTCACCTTTCACAACGTGTGTGATATCATCAGATTATTCTTGTTCTGTTATTATTATTATCATGATTACCTCAGACACTGTGTCTGTTCATATTCCAGCTGAGCTGTGTTGTGGAAATTCTCTGCTGCTGGTGAATAATGAAATAGAGACTTCTGCCGGCTGACAAGGTTTTTATTTTCTTTGCAAAGAAAAGGTCAGTCATCACACGAGAAGTCAGAATGAAGAAAGACCCCAAACATAGGAAAGCCTAAACATTTATACCTGAGGAAAGCCTCTTATGGTGTGTTTCACACCCTTCTGTCTGCGGCAGGGAGCAGTGCCCCTACCCATTGTTTTCAAACTCTTTCGTCTGTCGCAGCTATTGGCTCCGACCCCCTAGGGTGTGTTTCACACCTGGCGTATCCTGCAGGATTTTGTATCTAGGTGTGAGGTTAAGAGGTCTAGACATTCTGAAGTATTTGAAAACACAAAGAATGCACAAAGAAAATGAAATTACAATTACAGCTGTTACTGTAGTGATGTAAAAAGTGTCACCAGATGGGCGGAGCTACATTTGAAGTACCACATGAAAACCATGAAGTCACTGAATCCTCCACAGGAAGTTCCTGCAAATGTTTCACAATGAAAGCCTTTTTAGAAAATGAAGAGATTCTCTCAGCTGAAATGATAAGGGGCTTTTAATTTGAAACAGAAACAGGAAACAGAAAAGTCTTTTTTGTCAGAAACAGAAAGTGTTGAGTTTGATTAAACTAAGAACAGAATGATAAATGGTGTGGTGTGTTTGAGATGCAGTTGGTAGCCTCTGCAGCTGTGCTGAGTAAAGACCCAGACACTATCTGTGAGTTTGATTCCTTTATATCCTCCATTATGAAGAAAGAACATTCTTTGCTAGCTTGATGCTAATGGCAGTACTCAGCGGGTTGATAAAGTGCCTCTGCTGTTTCCTCTTTACTCTGTGTGCTAACGTCCCTACAGGAAATATCTAAAAGGCTGGGCTGTTGTTGTCCTACAGTTTCCATGGCGACAGACCGCTCTGTGTTCCTATTGGTCAAAGTGACGGCTATGACGGGAAAAGTCGTGGAAGACAAAAAGAAAATCAGACATGCTGGACTTTCTGTTGACATGTCAGACATGGCGTTGGTAGTCGTCTACTATGACACACTACATGGGATAAAACAAGTGATTATCACGCATGAGACTTGCTGTCGCTTACGATCGGTGCCGACACCGTACGTCGTTGCGTCGGGCTGTAATAAGGCTGATATCATGTCATGGCATAAGATGAAGTGTAAATACTCTGAGGTTTGGTGGAGATGAGTTTGAGACCAACGTGACGTCTGATGTTTTTATTCTGTCAAAAGTTTAAAGAAATAACTCAGTCATGAGAAAACGTTGTAGATTAAAGTGTGTGTTCATGCTGTAGAGGAATGAATGTGTGTGTGTGTGTGTGTGTGTGTGTGTGTGTGTGTGTGTTGGTGTGTTGGTGTGTTGAAGGTCAGTTGGTTGACACGTGTGCGTTTCCCAGCAGCAGCAGTGTTTATCAGCAGCAGCTGGACCTGAACATTTCACACACGTTGCATCAGGACTCGACCTGCAGAGAAACACGTGAACATAAAACCTGTCTGGATACTCAGTAACATAAAGTCTTATCACTGCGTCAATGTCACATCTCCTCATTAATTAACTTTATTAGTCTGACGTGGTGACGTCATGTGACCAGCAGCTGGTTCAGTTTTATGTGTAAATGTCAAACATCAGATTTGATCTGAAAACTGTATCAAAATGAATTTAAATCAGTGACAAACACAGAAACAGTGGACTCAGCATGATGTGAAGTGATGTGGCTGTGAGACAAACAAACTGCTCCTGATGTTAATATTTATTCAGTCATTAATGTAAAAACATTTTATATCAGCCGGTCAGAGAAGCTGTTTGATGGAGGAAACATTTGATTTCAGACTTGATTCTTTTTACTGTGTGTAAAGTGATTCTGTAGAATCTCCTATCAGAGTCAGGAGGACACGCACATCTGCAGATGGAGCAACAACAACTTGACTGATAAAGTCAAATGTTACTCAGATTTTCAGCATCACTGATGGACGGTGGGTTCACGTGTGACACGACAGTAAGCTCTACTGTAACTGCAGAGGTGTGTACGTAACGTTACGTCCACAGAAATAAAACAAGTGTCATTCTCTAACTTTTAAGTTACAGCTAAAAAGCTGGATAAAGAGTGTTCATAATGTTTTGTCTCAGCTGATGATCTGTATCGATCACAGACTGAATACTGACTACAGTTACTCAAAGCAGTGATTTGAAGGTGATCTTCAGAACATAAACTGATCCTGACCGGGTGAGGTCTGCAACATCAGTTACTATGGTGATCTGTCCAGGTTAGAAGAGCGTCACCTTCGTAGGACGTAAAACAGAGGGATGTCGTATGCTGTAAAGCCCTGTGAGGCAAACTGTGATTTGTGACATTGGGCTTCATAAATAAAATTGATTGATTGATTGATTGATTGAAAACTCTGACGTTAGACTCAACAAACCTCTCTGACACACTGATGGTGCTTCCTGGTTCAGCCCCCTGGTGTGTCAATGTTACGCCCCACCCATGGGTGGAGAGACTTCACTGCAGCCATGTGAAGAGACTCGGCAGACTTTAAGGGCACGTTTAATTAACCAAACATCACTCAGACAAAACAGCTGAAACCAAAGAGACCTCAAACACATTCTGTGTTAGCAGATGTAATAAGTTACTTCACAGTATCAGCCAGAAGTGACCATCACCTATTATTCTATAATGACACAACACGACACAGAGACCTTCAGGGATTTTTTTTCTGATGAAGTGGTGCGGTGTGAATGAATGAAAAATGAAAACGTGTCACATGACATTCTACATGTAATGATATCACCTGAAATCCTGCTGAACACATGGTATATTACTGCGTCACTGCTGAACCATCATCATCCTCACTGTGACCTTGTCACATGTCCACATTTGGTCATGGACAAGCATCACCTGTGACACATCCAGGAAGCTGAACAGTTTCTTTCCTGATCACACACTAAATCTTGTATTTTGTCTTAAATAATGTTTTAGTGGAGCATGTTACCTTTTCCCCTCTGACACTAATGACTTCTTATTAATACATTTATGTTTATTGCAGTTTGTTTATTTTCTGAAGCCTCAGCAGGTTTCTGTCAGATCTGTTTAATAAAAGAGAGGTTGTTGTTTAATGAACAGCTGAGTGCCGTCATGAATTAAATCTAAATGATACTTTAACACAAATAAAAACAACAAACAGAGTCAGTGATGTTCAGTGTTTTTATTATCGTTCAGTGTCGACACACTCTGAGGTGGGAATGCCGGGCTGGGGTCAGGGGTCAGGGGTCAGGGGTTGGTTTGCTGCCTCTTTAGTTGGCGGCGAGAGTCTGGTCAACCCACCCACGCAGCTCGGTGACACGGGCGTAGACAGCAGGAGTGGAGGTGGAGCAACGGCTGCTTCCCCAGGAGACGATACCGACCAGAGTCCAGGCGTTGTCCTTCTGACAGACCAGGGGACCGCCGGAGTCGCCCTGAAACAACAACCACACATGTCATAAACAACAAACAAGTAAACAACAACAAAGATCCATGAACACACGTGAGTGGGCGGGGCCTCACCATGCAGGAGGTGGCTCCGTCTCCTCCAGCGCAGATCATCACATCGGAGATGTTGCTGCCCCAGTGTTTCTTACACTGCTCGTTGGACAGCAGTGGCAGAGCGGCCTGCTGCAGCTTGTTGGGAGTACTGGGAGCTGTGGGACAAACAACAGCTTAGTCCCACTTCCTCCTCCCTTTCACAATAAAAGCACAGAATAAGAGGCAGGACGTGGGGGGGGTCTCACCGTTGTAACGGGTCAGGCCCCATCCGGAGGTGACACAGGTCATGCCGGCGGCAAAGACGTCAGTGGTCTCGGCGAGGCAGACGGGGGACACGTTGGTGCCAAGGCGGGCGGGCGTGGCCAGCTTGATGAGGGATATGTCGTTGTTGATGGTGCGGGGGTTCCACCCGGGGTGGGTGAAGACCTGGGGGGAGGAGGAGGAGGGGGAGGGGTCAGAGGGCGGAGAGGGTTGTGTTCTGGAAGCTGATTGGCTGATGGGAGGTTCTCACCTTGGCGGGTTTCAGCACCTGGATGGCCTCGTTGGAGCCATAGCCCTTATCGTGCTCTCCAACAATCACACGGTGGTAGGTCCTAACAGGAAACAGGAAGTGTGGATTTAAAGGGCCAGTTCACACAAATCAAAGACACTTCCTGTTTTTTTCTTCTTCTCTGTTTTTAAACTTGAAACTGCAAAACGTCTTCAGTTTATTAATGATGTCATCGTCACGTTCAGACTGAGGCATCAGGCAGGCGATCTGCTGACAGGAAGTGATCATCATCCCCGACAGAGTTGCTATGTCTCACTACAGTAAAACTATAGACAGGAAGTGGGCGGAGCCATGTTGTGTTGAACTGACCTGACGTTGCAGTGAGCAGCGGTCACAACCCAGTTCTCATTGATCAGAGATCCTCCGCAGAAGTGGAAGCCATTAGATTGCTGACAAGAAACAAACTGAACTCAGTCACTGAGGAGGGGGAGGAGGAGCGGAAGAGGAGGAGGAGGAGGAGGAGGAGGAGGAGGAGGAAAAGTTGGTGCTGAGGTCAGGTGACTCACCTGCAGAGACACCTGCCAAGGCCAGGAATGAGGAACGGCCTCCTCACCGTTGACGATGCGGGCGTAGCCGGTGACCTGGGGGGGGATGGCAGGGACGCCGCAGCCTGAGAGGACGACAGGAGACAGATGTTAAAGGTTGAAACTCTGTGAACGTCTCAGGAAGCAGACACCTGTCCAGGTGTGAGGGGAGCGGCGGAGGCTCAGGTTTTAATCTGAGAATCTGTAAAATTTATTTTTTCCTCTGTTAAAGTTTATAATCTCAGTTCATCATTGAGGTCAGAGTCTCACCGTAGGCGGCGCTGACGAAGGCGAGGCAGGAGACGATCCAGAGGAAGGCCATGGTGACGATGATGATGATGATGTGCTGAAGGACTGAGCTGCTCTTTTATCCCTGGACTCTGCTGGGCCTCAGCCAATCGGAGCGCTCTGAGGTTTGTGCAGCTCAGCCGTCAGCTGGTTATCAGACCAGAGGCGACGCAGCATTCTCACGAGTCCCACACCCCAACCTCCTTCTCTCTGATTGGCTGCTGACACCTGCACGACACAGAAAATGGTCAGCCCTGGTTGTTTTCACCCAAACTGAAGAATGATCAGTCGGTTTTTAAACAAGTTCACAGAAAAATGAAATCACAAGAAGGTCGGTGCTGCGTCCAAAACTGTCTCTGCTGTACGGACCTGATGTTTGTGACGTGTCCTGTATGGACCTGATGTTTGTGACGTGTCCTGTATGGACCTGATGTTTGTGACGTGTCCTGTATGGACCTGATGTTTGTGACGTGTCCTGTATGGACCTGATGTATGGACCTGATGTTTGTGACGTGTCGATCACATTGAAAGAGAGAATGTGAGAATAAATGTCATTGATCACAAACTCTGGATCATAATCATATTAATGTTCATCACAATAATAAACAAAAGATTTTCTGAACTTTAATTAAATGACAGATATTTTATTGTTCACACACACACACACACACACACACACACAGTTTTATGGAAACACATCAGATAACGTCAAGAAACTAAAAACACACGTGTGTTTCAGTGGAGTCGATGTGTGAAACAGTGAAGTCAGAGACACACAACACATGTAAACTCACCAGAGTGAAGATGACATGTGTTAAACGGGCTGTGTGTGTGTGTGTGTGTGTGAACGATAAAATAAATAAAATATCTTTGTTTGTGTGTATACTGAGTCGGTGTAATGAGACGTCAGCTTTCAGCTCCTCCTGTTTTCTTTATCTTCGCTTTTAATGATAAATTTATTTATTGTTTATCAACCAAATTGTTTCAGTTTAGTTGGAAAATTACTGAAATAAACTAAACTACACTAAAACAACAAAAGTCAAACATGTCAATAATACATATATATTTATATATTTATCATCAGGTGACAATATAAAATGATTCTCATGGAAAACACCTCAGACGTCAGTTTCAACATGAAATTAAAAATCAGATTAAATACTGTAAAAAGACAGAAACACAGAACACAAAAAACACAATTAAAATATGAAAAAATATTTTAAAATTTTAGTTTAAAATTTGATTGATTGTAAAAAAGTGTTTTGTTTTTAGAAGTTTCTTTAAACAACATCTGTGACGTCTGCTGAGAAACTCTGCAGCTGACAGGACGCCTAACCTGCTGCTGCTCTCTGATTGGTCCCTGAGAGTCAGGGGGAGGGGCTCAGTGACTGGTCCCTGACAGGCAGGGGGAGGAGCTCAGTGATTGGTCCCTGAAGTTGACCTCTTTCACCTGAGGAGGAAATGAAACATCTTTTCTTTATTTTACTCAGCATCAGATTCTTTGAGAAGATAATTCCTTCTTCTTTGTTCAAGGAAACTCATCTTTAATACAAATGTTTTAATGACTCTGTTTTTACTTTTATCAACAAACAGTTCTTCAGAGCTGTCTGAGTCCAGCAGAGACCTCAGAGGACGGGCCGTCTCTTTAAACTCTGACCCTCAGACACAGAGAGGTGACTGTTACAGTTGTTAACACTGGAGGTGAGAAAAGAGTTCTGTATAAAACCAGGACTGTGTGTCAGTCATGTTCTCCAGCTGTAGGAGATGTGAATCAATCAATCAATCAATCAATCCATCCATCCATCCATCAATCAATTTTATTTATAAAGCCCAATATCACAAATCACAATTTGCCTCACAGGGCTTTACAGCATACGACATCCCTCTTTCCTTATGACCCTCACAGCTGATCAGGAAAAACTCCCCAAAAAACCCTTTAACGGGGAAAAAACAGTAGAAACCTCAGGAAGAGCAACTGAGGAGGGATCCCTCTTCCAGGACGGACAGACGTGCAATAGATGTCGTACAGAACAGATCAACATAATAAATTAACAGTAATCCGTATGACACAATGAGACAGAGAGAGAGACAGAGAGAGAGAGAGAGAGAGACAGAGAGACAGAGAGAGAGATGCAGGTAATGACAGTAGCTTACAACAACATTATTGAAAGTAATAATATTATAGTTATAGTTCTGGCTACTGTGGTACAATATGTTGAAAGTATGTATTAATATCTGGCAGTATACATGTGTGACAATAGTCATATGTGTATAATAACAGTAGAAGTATGACTAATGACTAATGATGGCAGCAGCAGCAGGAGGCATCTGGCAGGACCACGGCAGCAGCACAACCACACAC